GTCTACTTTTTTGTATTATTTTTTTTATTTTCATTTTTAACTTTTAGTATCAGGGACAAAATGACATTAATACATACAGTATAACCTCGTTAATACGACACTCTACCTTGATTCGACCATATTCTGATGTCCCGACCTCCGGCCTAGCAAATAACAAACCGTAATTCGACAGTATCGATAATACGACACTTCCGATAGTTCAACCATTTAAAAATTCGAATTTCGACAGTTGAATGTTTTTTTACATACAACTTTACAACGCTATTACGGCGGCGACGATCGGCATCGGCGGGCGCCGATAGGATCGCCCCTGCGCACTTTTGATTTGTTAGTTTAAGTTTCACTTTGCTGTGCGGTTGCGCAATGTCGCGAGTGTTATTGTTTTTTTTTTTACGCGGGAATTTAGGCTTTGCGCGCTAATTATTAATGTTATTTTCTTTTTAATTTTCAGCATTGGAATATTTTAGTTATTTTAAAATTTGCAAATAATTTATTTTTTGTTGTGTTTTAACTTTAAAAGCACACAAAAAATATAATAAACTTGAATTTGTTTATTCAAGTATCAAAAAACAAAGCTTTACATATAGAACAAATAATAATTAAGAAGAAGAAAGAAACATTTTAGGAAAAGGCAAAAACAAAACAAAGTACTGGTCAAAAAGAAACATTTAAAATCACAGATTAATATCTTCAACACTTCCCCTTAATCAGATTTCAAATGTCCCTCATACCCAGTAGATATCTCAGCATTTGGAAACGCGGCTTAGGGAGCCCTTTGGTCATAATGTCAGCAACTTGATCTTTCCCAGAAATATGTTCTACATTGAAAATACCTTCTTGATACTTTTCTCTCACAAAATAGTGCCTTACTTCTATATGTTTGGTTCTCTTATGAAATTCAGGATTTTTTGATCAATTTAATTGTACTTGCATTATCAACTTTTATAATTGGTTGTTCTTTTAGTGGAGAAATTTCACTGAAAAGTCTATTTAACCAAATGACTTCCTTTGCTGTATTGCTTGCTGCCACGAGTTCTGCCTCAGTTGTTGACAAAGATACTGATCTTTGTTTTTGGCTAAGCCAAGAAATAGCACCGCCAGCCAGTTTACACACAACTCCACTGGTAGATCTTCTAGTTTCTGGGTCTCCAGCAAAATCTGCATCACTGAAAGATTCCAAAACTCCTACTTTATGACCCTTTTGGTACATAATTCCATATTCAGTTGTTCCTACAAGATATTTGAAGATTCGTTTAACTGCTTCTCAGTCATATTTTGTTGGTGCTGCAAGTTTTTGAGAAACTTTATTCAGTGCAAAAGTGATATCGGGTCTTGTTAAGCAGCTCAGATGCATCAGACTACCAATCGCTTCACGAAAGGGAACATTTTCTAGAATCTCTGCTTCCCCAGGAACAGTAGAATTATCAGTTGGTGTTCCCACTTTATTCGCTTGAGACATATTGAATTTCTCAAGAATTATTTTTATATATGCCTTTTGATTTATAAAGATTGACCCATCCGGTTGCCGCTCTATTTCAATACCCAAAAAGTAATTTAATGGTTCACTTGTGATCTTAAATGAAAACATTAATTCATCAAGAAATTCTTTGATTTCCTGTTCATTTGTACCAGCAATGATTCCATCATCAACATATATGGCAATATTGAGTAGATGATCATTTGTTTTTCTGAAGAATAAACAGGGGTCAGCTGTACTTTCCTTCAGACATCTTTCTTTCATGAAGTTGACTATTTTCTGATTCCAGCATCTTGGTGACTGTTTAAGTCCATAGAGACTCTTCTTCAATTTCCATACAAGATCTGTTCCATTGTTGAATCCTTCAGGTTGTTTGATATAAATTTGATCTTGTAAGTCTCCATAGAGAAAGGCTGTCTTTATGTCAAACTGTACCAATTTTAAGTCTTCATTAGCAGCAATTGCTAAAAGAGTTCTTATGGTGTCATGTCTTGCCACAGGACTAAATGTTTCTTCATGATCTATACCCTTCTTTTGTGCAAACCCTTTTGCCACCAGTCTTGCCTTATATCTTGTAATCTCTCCTTTAGAATTCAATTTGGTCTTTAATACCCATTTACAATCAATTGGTTTTTGGCCAGGTGGTAATGTTGTGCATTCGTATACATCATTTTCCGTTAAAGAATTAATTTCTTTATTCATTGCTTCTTTCCAAAATTGTGCATTTGAAGAATCCATTGCTTCTTTGTATGTCTTGGGTTCAAGACCTTCTGCAATATTTATTTCAGCATCAATATACCTTTGAGGTTTTGATATATTTGATCGATCTCTTAGATTGCATACGTCTGATGTTTGTACATTGCTTTCAATTTTCTCAATATCTTGAGTATCATTTTGTTCATCAATCTGATTACTTGAAAGTTCCTTATTTCTCTTTTCAATATCAAGGCTAAATGTTGGTATAGTTTCCTTGAATATTACATCCCTACTTGTGACAACTTTGTTTGAGTTCAGCATCCAGATTCGATACCCATCCTTGTTACTGCAATAACCAACAAAAATACCTTTTTCGCTTTTGGCATCTAACTTTCTTCTCTTTTCATCAGGCACATGAACAAAACATTCAGTTCCAAATATTCGAAGATGATCAACTGCTGGTTTTTTATCAAACCATAGTTCATAAGGTGTCTTTCCTGCCTCTGCCCAAAGCTTTAGGCTCATATTTTTGGCATATATCATTGAACGAGCTGCTTCTATTAAAGTCCTGTTTTCCCTTTCCGCTGAACCATTCTGTTGTGGAGTATATGGCATTGTGATCCTATGATTAATACCATACTTGTTTGTAATTTTTGAGGTTTCTTTATTTACAAACTCCTTTCCTCCATCTGTGAGAATTTCTTTCACTATATGTCCAGTAGTCTTTGTTTCCAAGAGAAATTGTTCTAGCTTTTCAATGACTTGTGATTTTTCTTTTAGGAAATACACTGATCGGTATTTTGTAAAATCATCTTTG